TCGGCGGTCTACTTCGAACCTTAATTACATATATCGTATCTGAAAATGCGTCCTAAAAACGTATTCCGTAACGCAGAAATTTCCATAATAACGAGCAGCACGCCTGTTCTATTTTGCGACGCAGTTTTACGGAGGAGCTTGTCTAAACTACCGGATGTAACTTTTAACGACACTTTTCAACGGCCAATTTGGAGTCCGTTTTTCCCCGGCGCGAATATCGAGACGCCAATAATTTCCAACGCACGGGGTAATCTGTCGAGCGATTGAGAATGAAGAGTTTCTCGCGCACTAAACTTCAAGGCGCCGAGTGGGATAATGAAGTTATAAATTTCAGAATGCCATATGGATAACGAAATTGCATTCCTCAGTTAATTTCAAATAGGATTTACTTCTACATGGATATTAATTTTACAATTTATTAGAGAGAGACGCGCGGAATTGAAAAGGCGTGATGAATGATTAACTTGGACATTTTCATAAGAGGGGAGAAAAAAAAAGGTTGATTTCAAATTGGGCCAAGAATCTTAGAGCCATTAAAAGACATTCATCGATCATGGGACACTGTGTGCAGGATATTTCATCGTCTTATACCGCTAGTCTCGGGTAACATCAACCAGGTGTCTGTCCTCGATAAAAGTTTCAAGATTAAGGCAAGACACTTGGCTTTAGCGCGTATTACTCTAACGATTTAGCCATTGTTGAGTTAAAGCTTATTTAATCAGGCAGGCGATTCGACGGCGAAAATCCGCATACGACTTCACGCATTTCGGCATACGACGCGCTCCGATCCCTCCCGCGAATACTTTCCGCATCGCGTGACGCACTAAGTAGATTTCGTATCTGGAATTCTTCATCGCGAATTATAGATAAAGTCCTAGTAAAGTGGGCTCGAAAAGAAAGTACATCGATAATAATAGCGACAATAAATTAACCGGGGAATTATATAATCGGTGGAAGCAGAGCATAGCCGATTACCGCACGCGGTAAAATCAGGAATTTACTCCGATATCGAACATGTCGAAGTTTAGCTGGCCAGCCTAGTGCATCCACGATCGTTATCTTTAGATATCCGTGACTAATGTACGCGTGTATACCGTAATGATCGCGTCTGACCAAGCGCGCTTCCTTTTTACGATACACTGTATAAATGATTGAAAAAAAATCGTCGGGGAAACATCGAACGAATCGACGGCAATCGATGAATAAAAAAAAAGACACGTCATTAACGGCTCCGTCGAAAGTCTGCTGCGCGCGGCACAAAAAAAAACGGCCGTCTTGCTTCACTTTTCCCGTCCTAGTGGCGAAGATATCCGATTCCCATGCTACATCCGGAGCGAAATCGGCATTCGACGTGCACGCGAACGGTTCTCAGGGATTTTTCTTCGATATATCGGATGAATGGTGCGACTCCGTATCACACCTCGCAACCCGTAATTACGCGCGCGGCCGCCGAGTCCTTCTTTCCCGAGAGCGCATTGTATGTTCATTCGTACCAGTTTTGCTTGAAGAAAAAAAAAAACTGCACCGCGATACAGTGCGTGTACCGAGCGCGCTAATGTGCCAATTAAGCCCCATCGAAGTCTCCCCGTGCGTCGATCCGGCCGGTTTCATCGACGTCGCTTAACTTTAATCACGCCTTGGCGAGCCTTCGCGCTTCTCTTGAGACGCGCAGGAGCGCTGACCACGAGACAGCAGCCGGGGAGGAAGTGAATTCAATTAATCACGGATAATTAAGCCGCGATTAATTGAGTCTTCTTCCTGTCCCTATTATATCTATTATATCACAGGGGTGCGTGTTACGATCCGAATGGAGAATTCATTAAGTCGCAATTATGCATTAAATGTATTCTCTCCCCGCTTTGGAGAGTACGCGCATTTTATTTTTTATTGTTATACGCCAGAACCAGGCGGCCCCTTTCTTCCTTTCGTTATTAGTTCTCCCAGTTGAATTTAATGCTGAAACGCGCTTTGTGCTGAAGCAGGAATATATCTTGACGCAACCGGCGTAACACCTGCGACACCGTTCGCATGAGTCTTCGCAGCGGCGGTGTTATGATGTACGATTATGGATGCGATAGCGCCGACGCTTCGCCTGACGCTAATAGACTTTCTTTACGCCGCGTGATTTCCGTTCCGTATTAGCGGCCCGGCATCCCCGCGTCGTTTTGCATTTTGCGGCGCGGCCGCGCGCGCACGTCGATCCGTTGGAAATCCCAGGGATCGCAAATTGGAAATTATCTCGCGGAGCAATCGGCCAATTCTCTCTATCACTCGGCGCGCCTTTGTTCCCCGAATCACCGGTCGGCGTTCCAATCACCGATTCGCGATCCTCAATCATCAGCGCGCGCGGCCTGACGCGCGCGGGCTTTAACAGACGGACGGACGACTTCATCGCGCGCGAGCAGATATTATATGCGCAATTTATACGCATCGCGTTATTGCGTATTGCCATTAACGCCTCACGCGGTTATTACGGATACGTTGTAATACTTAATTATTATTAATGACTCCGCGCTCCCCGTTACATCGCCAGCGCGCGCGCCGTCTTTTACCGTATTCCGCGGAACAAAATTGTTCGTTTGTAATCAAGACGCGTTACATTCGCTTATTTGATCGTAATCGTAAATGACTCAACGGTTTCATACACCATCGGTTTCACACACCGCCGTTATCTCAGCGAAGAGAGAGAGAGAGAGAGAGAGAGAGAGGAGGGAGGGGGGAAGGGGGAAGGGAGGGAGGGAGGAGGAAGGAAG